GGGTTTCATCATGAATTTTGATATTTGAGTGAGAATTAAAAAAAAGGGATGAAAGTCGGTGCTTGATTTGTAAATAACAATGTTTCGGGCGCTAGCATGCGATTGCAACTAGGGCAGTCAAGACGGCTTGTTGCTCATGAATAGTTTGCATTCGACTCGTTAAGTAGCTTTTGTTCAATTCGTTTCATAAGCAAAAGAGCCAAAACAAACATTTGTTTTTCACTAGATATATAAACGAACCGACCACGAACAAATATTTGTTTGTTTGTGTTTGGTTGGTTTTGTCTCGAAGTAATTAAATTATATATATATGTGTGTGTGTGTGTGTGTGTGTGTTGAAAGGAATGGTCGAAGGCTATAGCCCCGGCCATCCCTCATGGGCCTAAGAATTTGAGTAACACACATTACCTTAGGGGGAATCAAACCCCAAACCAGAGGCCCATACCAGAGGGCCTTATAACTGACAAACAGATGCCCGACCAACTGATTTGAGTACGTCACATACACACACACACACACACACACACACACACACATATATGCATACATACATACATACATACATACATATATAATTGATGAGTATTATTTTTAAATAATTTAATTGACTACAAGACTATAGAGAATTATATCAATCAAAATTATTAATTAAAAATAGAATAAAATCTACTAAATACTATTTAAATAAAAATTTTAAATATAAATAATAAGATTTAAATCTTGTTCTTACCCTTAACATTCTATGGCTGAGTGACTAGGGATGTCAAAATGGCTCGTTTTTCGCGAATAGCTCATATTTGACTCGTTAAGCAAATGATCAGAACACGAACAAATTTTTTGAGCTTTATATATTGACGAGTCGAACACGAAGAATGATATTTTTTAACTAGCAGAACACAAGTTGAGCCTCTCGTTTACACCCCTAAATGCAACACCCCCAACCCAAAAAGAAGATATTCCTTTCTAATAAATTTAAATTTTTTTACAAAAATTATTTTGTATACACCACAACTGTCAGCATGAATATAAAACATTTGAACCTAGACAACGACCAAACAACCAAGGTGTCCTACCGCTCTACTGCCAACTGCATGGTCAAGAATCGACTGACACACTGTAGTGATAGATTCAAAAGACAGACCACGTCAACGGTCCCAACCGATTGGGGCGTAGGCAGGAATCCTTGATCGTGATTAATCGTTCGAGCTGCCTTTATCAAGAAGAACAAGATTGATATTCAACCAGGCGCCTTGGCCGACCGACACATATTTCAAAGAGACAAAGTTGCCACTAAGCCAGTAGCCTCAGTAGGCCAAATTCAAGCAAATCAGTCCTCGGCCAGTCAATTGCCCCCATATTAAAATTCAAAATGTAGCAGAGATATGGTATAAATTTTCATACGATCAATAAGAGTATCCATTGTATTAAGAGTGTTTTCAATAACCATTCACTCCTATAAATAGGCGGCAAATGTACAAATAAAGGAACCTTTACCAATTCGTTGTATAGAAATCTCCTCACTTGCTATTTTCTTCTTCTCTCTTCCTTCCTTCACTCAATCCAAAACTCTCAGGACATATTCACAGAATAATTTAGGATCCAACATATATATAATTTATTAATGAGTCATTATAATATAATTCAATCAGGCCAAAAAAAATACCCCAATTGCATATGAGCTTTTATTAAAAGACTAAATCATTTTAGATTTTTGAGAACTATACTTTCATAATTGAAAGAGTCAATTAATATGAATAAATCCAATAATTAATAATTATAGTTTATGCTGACCAATCACAAACAAGCCCCTTGTCATTCAAACTCCACTCAAAAAAGCAACTCACTAATTAATAATATTTATTATTATAATCATAATTATCAATATCATTACTTACTCTAATAATGAACAACCCTTCCAAAGATGCAAAGCTTTTCTTCTAGAAAGACAAGGCATCCTTTTGAATTAGACCAAATAGGGGCTGATGAGGACAAAGTGGATGACAAAGAAAACCAAGAAAATATTTTTAATAAATTAATAATAATAATAATAAATTTGACTTATTTCAACATGTTGTAAGCTTACATCATCTTAATTCTTAGCTTCTTTGAACATTTTTAAAAACATTACATTTTAATATTTACATAAATACCGCTCAATTCTAGTTTATTTACATATCTAAAACCGAAACTTCAATTTTTACAAATATGCATCTTTAATGCATAAGAATATGTGTATTTCAATTTTTTCAAGTTAAAATAATGGCATTTTTTATGAGATGAAAATTTTGGATGGTATAGATGTAAATAAAAAAGTTTAGGTTGGGAACATAGACTAAAATTAATTGTTGTACATGACAGACAATCATGAAAAAGATGTATGAATTCTATCTAGCTTTTTATTATACTGTAGACTAATTTTTTGACCACTTAGTACTTATAAATAGGGGTGTAAAAGAACCGAACACGAGCTCAAAAAGTGTATTCGAGCGCAAAAAATGTGTTTGCTTAAGGAGCTGAACACGAGTTGTTCACGAACAAATAGTTCTTTTAACCACCCTAATGATGTAGTCATAAGACAATAAAAATTTAATCAAGATTTATTAATTAATAATTTTAATTGATTATAAATCTTTATAGCCTTGTAGTCAATTAATTTTTTTAAAAATACTTCTCATCAACTATATATATATATAAATTATTGATGAGTAATATTTCGAGCCAAAATGAGCCGAACACGAACGAGCACATTTTAGTTCGTATTCGCTTCGTTAACTTATCAAACGAAATTAACGAGCCGAACATTAGCTTCTTAAAGAGTCAAACACGAGCTGTTCTCAAACAACCTACTTATAAAAACGAATATTTACAACCATAACACTTAATTTCTATCTATTTACATATCCAACATCTAAAGTTTAATTTTTTGCATTTATGTCAATTTACATATAAAACAAAGTATTTGAGTGTATATATATTATTAGTTCGGTTTAAATTTTAGATATGAAAATAGAGAAATTGGGTGATGAACTTAAATAAATCCTTTTTTATTTTTTTTTATTTATTTTTATTTTTTTATTTTTTTTTTGCGCTCGCTCGTACCAAATAAAAAGCTCAATTAAACGCCTAAATAATATATAAAAATGGCTTATCTAAAATACTTAAGAGCAAAAGAAAATCATCAGAAATAACGCTTAAGGGTCTGTTTGGGGCAGCAAGTTTGGGCGGTATTTTCAAAACGCCGTCTCACCGTTAGAAAAATACATTTCAACAGCGTATCCAAAAACGCGATTGAGTTCTTACACTAAACGAAGGCTAGGGGTCGAACCACACAAACCGCGTTTCACCCTAAGTTGTTTATCTAGATAAGCACAAACTGTCCCAAACAAAAAATTAGTTCATACAGACACTACATGCATCTCTTAATTCAAGGA